TCCTCCTGGATGGCCTGTTCCGTCCACTGGTAGTGGCCTCTGTCCATGTGGTGGCCTCACGTGGATGCAGTGTGTGGTTTTCCTGGGGTGGGGTTCAGCCTCCTTCCACCTCCATCTTGACTGGGACAATCAGGTCTCCCTCTGAACTCACCGGTGGTCCTTGCCCTCCACCCCCTCTGTGAGGGGCATCACCTCACTTGGCCAGGGCAGCCCCTCAGCTCCTGCCCATTCTCTCACCTTTGGCTCCTCTGCATGGAACCATGGGAACCACTGGGGCCACATGTCCCCTTTAGGATCTGTAGGGAACTGGACTGGGGTGACCATATGTCCTTCCCAGATACACTAAGCCACTATCATAAGCTATCCTAGAAAGCCTTCTGTCTTCAGAAATCCATAGGCCTAGATAATTAGGGGCATTTTAAAATCGAATCTTCAAGTTTAAATGTTTTAGAGAATAGAGAAAAGAGTTTAATTTACTTTATAAATGCTCTTATACCAAAACATGACCAGAATATAAAAAGGAAGTAATTTCATTTTAAAATACAGAGGTAAAAATCTAAAATAGTAACAAACCCAGTCTAGACGTAGCATAAATGTACAACACAGAAACAAGTGTGGTTTCCTCAAGGCATACAATGGTCATGCATTTAAAAATAATCTTGTAACACTAATCTTGCTATTACTCAAAAAATATGACCAGTTAAAGTCAAGATGAGGGTAACTCAATACATTGATACTAAAATTTACCTGGTTGAATGATTTTGTGGGAATAGGAAATTTTTAAATACAGGCATACCTTGTTTTCTTGCACTTTGCAGATATTGCATTCTTTACAAATTGAAGGTTTGTGGCAACCCTGTATCGAGCAAGTCTATGGACACCATTTTTCCAACAGTGTTTGCTCGCTTTGTGTTTCTGGGTTACATTTGGGTAATTTTCACAATAATTCAAACTTTTTCATTATTATTGTATTTGTTGTGGTGATGTGTGATCTTTGATGTTATTACTGTCATTGTTTTGGGGGGGACACAAATTGTGCCCATATAAGGTGATGAACTTGAAAAACATCTGTGTTCTGACCGCTCCACCAACCTGCCACTCCCCCATCTCTCTCCCTCTCCTCACCCTCCCTATTCCCCAAGACACAACAATATTGACGTTAGGCCAATTAATAACCCTACAATCGCCTCTGAGTGTTCAAGTGAAAGGAAGGGTCGCACGTCTCATTTTAAATCAAAAGCTAGAATTGCTTAAGCTTAGTGAGGAAGGCATGTCGAAAGCTAGGATAGGTGAAAATCTAGGCCTCTTGCACCAAACAGGAGCCAAGATGTGAATGCAAAGGAAAAGTTCTTGAAGGAAATTAAAAGTGCTACTCCAGTGAACACACAAATGGTAAGAAAGTGAAACAGCTTTATTGCTGATATGGAGAAAGTTTCAGTGATCTGGAGAGAAGATCAAACCAGCCACAACATTCCCTTAAGCCAAAGCCTAATCCAGAGCAAGGTCCTAACTCTTTTCAATTCTATGAAGGCTGAGGTGAGAAAGCTACAGAAGAAAAGTCTGAAGCTAGCAGAAGTTGTTCATGAGGTTTAAGGAAAGAAGCTGCCTCCGTGATGTAAAAGTGCAAGGGGAAGCAGCAAGTGCTGATGTAGAAGCTGCAGCAGGTTATCCAGAAGATCAAGCTAAGATCATTAATGAAGGTGGTTACACTAAACAACAGATCTTCAATGTAGATGAAATGGCCTTCTATTGGAAGGTGCCATCTAGGACTTTCATAGCTAGAGAGGAGAAGTCAATGCCTGGCTTCAAAGGACAGGTTAACTCTACTGGTAGGGGCTAATGCTGCTGGTGACTTTCAGTTGAAGCCAGAGCTCACTTACCATTCTGAAAATCTTAAATCCCTTCAGAATTATACTAAATCTACTCTGCCTGTGCTCTAGAAATAGAACAGCAAAGCCTGGATGACAGCACATCTGTTTACAACATGGTTGACTGAATATTTTAAGCCCACTGTTGAGACCTACTGCTCAGAATAAATGATTCCTTTCAAAATATTACTGTTCATAGACAATGCACCCAGTCACCCAAGAGCTCTAATGGAGACGTACAATGAGATCAGTGTTGTTTTCATGCCTGCTAACACAACATCCATTCTGCAGCTCAGGGATCAAGGAGTAATTTCAACTTTCAAGTCGTATTATTTAAGAATACATTTTGTAAGACTATGGCTGCCACAGATAGTGATTCCTCTGATAGATCTGGGCAAAGTAAATTGAAAACCTTCTGAGAGGGATTCAGCATTCTAGATGCCATTAAGAACATTCATGATTCATGGGAAGAGGTCAAAATATCAACATTATCAGAAGAAGTTGATTCCAACTCTCACGAATGACTTTGAGGGATTCAAGACTTCAGAGGAGGAAGTAATTGCAGATGTGGTGGAAATAACAAGAAGACTAGAATTAGAAGTGGAGCCTGAAGATGTGACTGAATTGCTGCAATCTCATGATAAAACTTTAACAGATGAGGAGTTGCTTCTTATAGATGAGCAAAGAAAGTGGTTTCTGGTTTCTTGAGATGGAATCTACTCCTGATGAAGATGCTGTGAAGGCTGTTGAAATGACAGTAAAAGATTTAGAATATTACGTAAACTTAGTTGATAAAGCAGCAGCAGAGTTTGAGAGGATTGACTCCAATTTTGACAGAAGTTCTACTGTGGGTAAAATGCTATCCAATAGCGTTGCCTGCTACAGAGAAATCACTTGTGAAAGGAAGAGTCAACTGATGCAGCAAACTTCACTGTTGTCTTATTTTAAGAAGTTGTCACAGCCTCCCAGCCTTCAGCAGCCACCACCCTGACCAGTCAGCAACCATCAGCATGGCTGACCCTCCACCAGCAAAAAGATTAGGACTCGCTGAAGGCTCAGATGATGGTTAGCATTTTTTAGCAATAAAGTATTTTTAAATTAAGGTATACACATTGTTTTTTTAGACAAAATGCTACTGCACACTCAACACAGTACAGTTTAGTGTAAACATAACTTTTATATGCACTGGGGAACCAAAAAATTGGGGTGACTTGCTTTATTGAGATGTTTGCTTTACTGCAGTGGTCTGGAACCAAACCTGCACTATCTCCAACATATGCCTGTAGAAGAGTAATAATGAGGAACTTGCTTTACTAATTACTAACCTTTACTTCAAAGCTACAATATTTAAAGTAGTGTGGTACAGTTACTGAAACGGATCAGTGGAGCAAAGTAGAAGATCCTAAAATAGATCCAAGTGCACATGATAATTAAATGTATGATATTGATAAAGATAAAAGCAGTATTTGAAATCAGTGAAGAAGAATGGGTTATTTAATAAGTCGTGTTGTGATAACTGCTTAAACATTATTAAAAGCAAATAATACCTTTACTTGCAAAAATGCAAACGGGTTGAAAGAAAACATTTTCACGTTAAAAATTAATTTAAAAAAAGTACTTGGATAAATTTAGTTGAATATTCATATATAATTGTAGAAGGGAAACCATGAATGAAAAGTTTCATCAGTTTGACTGCTTATGTTGTATAAAATTTCTGCATGTATGCCAAAACAAAACAGAAACCCCCATCCCTGCCCCATCCCCATTATACACTCCAAAAACAAAATAAAAGAAAAAAAAGAAACAGATAATAAGCTGGGAATACTGCTTGTATCAAACATGACAGATATAAGGTCAATATTTATAGTATAAAAGTGTATAATATATTAGGGGCTCCTAGTACTTTTAGGACAAAAAAATCATAGAAAAAATACATTGATAGTAAATTTTGAAAGTCTTGGAAAAATTTATGTCTATGAACAGCCAATTTCCTTCTAGACGTTTACCCTCAGGAATTAAATGTACATATTTGTAAATACACATACATTAGGATATTTTTCAAAGCGTTATCAATGAAAGCCAAGAGAAAACAAACAGGAAAATGAAAAGGAAGGAATGGAGAAGGGAAGAGAGAAAGAAAGAGGAAGGAAGGAAGAAAGAAAGGAAAGAAGGAAGGAGGGAAGGATGGGAAGAAAGGGAAGAAAGGAAGACCTTTAAATATCCTATAATAGGAGATCGGTTAAAGAAATTATGTTATACTGGTAACAGTTGACAACTGGTCAGTAATTAAATGTAACCTGGAAAGGTGTTCACAGTAATATGTATAGGAATTCTTTTATGAAAACAGCTATATGTAAATACATACACAAACAAATTCATAAAGATATCTGGAAGCTTCTATGCCATAATGTTAATTTAACATTGGTTACCTCTTCATTAGTGGTTTACAGCTAACTTTTCTCAATTTTGCATGTCTTTTCTCTCTTTTTACCATGTTTGGTTTTAGTTTTGAAATGAAAAAGCAATTATTTAAAAGATGTTATTCTGAGAACTTCTGGCTTAGTACAACAGTCCCGAGACTGCAGGCTGGTCTGTAGAGATTCTCCTCATCCCTCTCCAGTCTCACGCCCTGCCATGTTCCAGCTCCTGGTCACCAGCTCTAGGAAAATGTCCCTGACCACCCAGGCCTTTCCTGCTCTCTTCTTCTCTGAGCTATAGGTGATACAGTACCTCATCTTTGTTTTTTAAATGTTTCCCATGTGTTTTCCAGTCTCCGGAAAGAAACTATGAGCTCCCTGAGGGCAGGGGTTGGGCCTTGTAATTCTGCACCTCCCTTGGGCTCCAGGCAGAGCTGAGTAGCTGCTTCAAGGACAGGGGCTGGGCCTGAATTCTCTGGCCGGGAGAACTGATGAGAAAAGCCGTGGGCCCAGGAGGTCATCTAGGGCAGCTGGGAGAGCTGAGGAGGGCAGAGGCCACAAGTACAGCACCTGTGAGGTGGGTTGAGCCGGCCTTGTCCTGGGAAGGAAGGCAGGGGCCTGCTGTCGTGGTCTCTGCAACTCTCCACCTTTGCAATGCTCCCTGGGTGATTTGTTGTGTTAACCTGTGCTTTTTATCTCCATGTGATGTGGACAGGTTCTCACATTCCCATGGACCAGCCCTGCTGTCGTGGTCTCTATGAGTTTGAGCCAGAAAACCAAGGAGAACTAGGATTTAAAGAAGGGGATATCATTACGTTAACCAATCAGATAGATGAAAACTGGTATGAAGGAGTGCTCCATGGGGAATCTGGATTCTTCCCCATTAATTACGTGGAAGTGATTGTGCCTTTACCTCAGTAAATGTGTAACTCAAACTTTGGACGTACTTTCATAACGGAAATGAATTCACACCAGTGTCCTCTCAGTGTGGTGTTCTGTGGCATTCCTGCTCTTTGACCAGCTTAATGACTTTTGTATGTGTGTTCTCTTTATAATGTATTTTGTATCCATTTAATTTGTATAAATGATTTTCTTGTCTTAGCTACATGAAAATACCATCTTCTTTTTTTTGCTGACTGTCCTAAAAGTCATTGGTTAAATAAATGTATGTGCTCCTTGTTGCTAAAAACAAATGCACCCACTGCAGTTTTGTTAGTGAATTGCCCATGTTCCTCAAGCTGTGATGGAATGCGACACTTGAAACTAAGAACTGCTAAATATCTTGTTTCCTGACATTACTGATGGCATCCGGTCTTTTCCCTTCATGGTGTTTTAGCTGACCTGTGAATAGCCCAATAAACATGACACACTGTGTTGGTAAAAAGGCCTTGGTTATTCTTAATGTTGAATTGATTTTTAAGACAGTCGTGCACAGCTGCAAACTCCTCCTGTGCCCACTCTGACTCGGGGTCCAGCTTGTGACTTGTTTGGCCTGTGGGATCGTAGCAGTCTGGATACAAACGGAAACTTGAAATAGCACTCAGCCTTCCCACCTGTGCTCTTGCACCTGCATCTTCACCAGAAGAGCATGCCCAAGCTAGCCTACCAAAGAGAGACATGGACCAGAACTGAGTTACCCTAGCCAACCTCCAGACCTGTGGGCAAAGGTGAGGAGGCAGGGACACTAATCTACTACAGTTCTAAATATAAATAAGTACTAGATATTCTTAAATGGATCAAGTTTATTTACGTGGCTTCCTCTTCCTTGAGGATATGTTCTTCTGAGATTTCTCCATCCCTCAAACGAATGGACTCCTGACAGGCACATCTTTCAGTTCAATAGGTATTGCCAGGTGTACGTGACCCTTAGCATGGACACTGCTTAGCTTCAAGCTGGGATCCCATCCTCACTTTTGCCTACTCCTCATCTCTTGTTTTGCTGTAGAGGCAAGTGGAGTGAGTCCCAGGAGACTCACCTGGTGTCTGTCCTTATGAGATCACGCATGGCCATGTGCGTGGTCTAGGTCCCAGTGGATAACTAGGTTTTGCTGAAATCTCCCCTTGGGGGTACTGAGCAAGGCCAGCTTGAGATCTGGCCTTTGGGCAGCACCAAGGGTTGGTCTCAATGGGCTGACAAGGGACATGTGATCCTACTCAGTGTAAGTAAAAGTACAAAGAGCAGGAAGGGGGAATAAAAAGCCAAGTCTGTTCTTAACAAGAGATCAGCAAAGGAGATCAAATATTAACCTCAAGGCCAAGTCTAGAGGGCCGAAATAGGAGCATTAGAGAGATGTCAGAACATAGAATCAAGGGAGTATTCGAGGGCAAGCCCTAATGAAGTGTGTCCAGTAGAAAGGTGCATGGGGAATTATCTGCCTGGAAGAGGCCCCCAAACTCAAGCCAAGTTCCACTGACATAAAGGTTCTTCTCTGCCTCAGAGGTAAACCGTGGAGAGGGGGCTAAGAATCAAAGTGGATGTTATGGCTCCTTTAGGAAAACCTGTTCCAGTTCCTGGGATTGTCCTGGGACCAAGGGTTCTTGGGGACATTCCTTTGGACTTGGAGTAATTCAGGCTTAAAGTGTTCCTCTCAGGAGCCACTTCCATCTCCCACCCCACGAGCAGGAAGAATCGGTTATGTTCACCTCCATGGAGGTGGAAGAAAGACCACCTTCCTGGGCCAGCTGTGTCATTTGCTTTACGTGCATTTTCTAGTTTAATCTTCATTAAAAACACTAAGGCAAGTTGCAGTGTTCCTATTTGCAGGTGAAGAAATTGAGACTTAGAGAAGGCAAGTGACTTGCTGAATGAATATCACAGAGCTCAACTCTAAAGGCTGTGCTATGTCTGTACCTGTCAGATTGCTCTTTTAGCGTGTCTGCCCCACATATAACTTCTACTTTACCCACTGTGGAGGGACCCATCAGCCACCCTGAACGTTGTGACCCTATCCACTGGCCACAGTTGATTGGACCAGGGATGTGCCTCCACTGTTTCTTTTTCAGTCGTGATAACTAGAACCCATTTGCTACAAATTAGGTGGTCAGTGTCTTAGTCCAAGGCCCCACCTTTGTGAATGTCTCTGGGAATGTGGCTACCCTGGCAACTGGAAGACCTCTTATTTAGTGTACGGCACTGTAAGTCTAAGCCCCCTTGGTGCCTCCCACGGGCCAGTCCCTGATGATAACTAATGATGTTGAGCACCTTCTCATATGCTTATTGGGCATGTGTGTATCTTCTTCTGTGAAGCGTCTCTTCAAATCTTTTGACCATTTAATTTAATTTATTTATTTATATATATTTTTGGCCACACCACGCAGCATGTGGGATCTTAGTTCCCCGACCAGGGATCCAACCCGCACCCCCTGCGGTGGAAGCGTGGAGTCTTAACCGCTAGACCACCAGGGAACTCCATCTTTTGACCACTTTAAATTGCTTATTATTAACTTGTGAGAATTCTTTATATATTCTGTATATGTCTATATGTCTACATTTATACTAGTATGTTGTTCTTAGAGTATCTTAATGTTGTTTGGTCTCCGTTGTAGAACCTCTGATAAGCTATGTCGGACAACATCGTTGGACATAATTTCAGGTGGGAAATAGAATATATAGTAAACTTCAGTATTGGTGGCTACAGTGGATTGATTAATGGCCTCCAAAAAGATATGTCCCAGTCATAACCTACAGTACCTGAAAATGTGAATTTGGAAATCAGGTCTTTGCAGATGGGGTGTTAAGATGAGATCATCCTGGATTAGGGTGGGCCCTAAATCCAATGGCTGGTGCCTTTATAATAGAAAGGAGAGGAGGATTTGTCACAGAGCCAGACACAGGGCAGAAGGCCATGGGGAAAGCATGGGAAGGCTTCCGTGGGAAAAGCAGAGAGAGATTGGAGTGATGCTCCCAGAAGCCAAGGAAGAGGCGAGGAAGGATTCTCCCCTAGAGCCTTCAGGTGGAGCACGGACTTGCTGACACCTTTATTTTGGGCGTCTGGGCTCCAGAATAGTGAGAGAACTAGTTTCTGTTGCTTTAAGTCACCCAGTTGTAGTCATTTGTTACGACAGCCCTAGGAAACTAATACAGTGGTGTTCATTTAGTTATTATACAGTTTCAACTCATTTCAGAGCTTTCTAGGGGCAAAATCCACCCTGTCAATGAGGACACCCAAAAATGTAGTAGTTGGTAAGGCAGAAGTAGCCTCATGAAGATGGGAAATGTCTTCTTCCAGTTGAGCATAGGCTTAATGACTAAGCCCAAGAGATTAAGGGAAGAAATATCCAAAGAGTGCTGGGGTATGTGTGGTGGACACTTCTCCTCCACTTGGGATGCCTCCTCCAGGTAGACGCAGCTCTTTTCGTTGGACTTTCTTTCCCTCTTTACACCCTCTAGCTCATGAGCCCTGGGTCCAGGGGAACTTGATCTGACTGATGAGTTTAGAAAGAAGAACTGAGCAAATGTAGCTCAGCCCCTCCCCTCCCCTTCTCGGGAGCTGCTCATCAGTGGAGAGCACACGGAAAGCTCAGGAATAAAGGCGATGTGTGGTCTTCCTACACTTTGTTATTATTGCTCCATTGGTTCAAGATTTGGACAGAGGAGTTCCGTTTCTTGGTCCCCCTTGAACACCAGCACTTACTATACTTTTCATCTCAGTGAGGTTTATTATCCTACCATTTAATCCCATTTTAGTCTACATATATTTATTTGATCTATATGTACATACTTATAACTGTCAGTGTGAAGCCACAGGAATGGTAATAGCTGAGAGCCCACAACGAGAGGACGCGGGGCTGCCCTGCTCTCAGCTATATTCCCTCTGCCTCTTGGCTCTCCCAATGCAACTGGATGCAGCTCAGAAAATGACCGTTCTTCAAAGGCTCTTGTGACTCTTGAGATTCCAAAGATGGAGGGGTTAGTGCTCCCCAGAACCTTCACCAGAAAGGTGACACATCTTGTATACATTAAACTGATCATTCTAAAAACCAGAGTCTCTGGTTTACATAGCCAGGAGGAAGCCAGAGGAGGAGGCTAGCAAGAGGCAGCCAAGAGGGTACCACACAGGGAGATACACCTACAGAGGGACCATTCCTGTGAGGTCCCAGGCCAGACGTGGTAAAGGTGCTGCTGAGTCTCCCACAAGATACCCATGGTTTCCTTAGCTTCCTGGCAGGGTGAACGGAGGACATTCACAGTGCACAGCTCTCTTCCTTCATCACGAGGGCCATTGTCGCCAGAGCAATGGCTACTAGTGTATCTCATCAACCCGCTGAGTTTCAGTTATGGGGATAATTCCCTTCCTCCGTTTCCAGCATTCATATAGAATTTTATATAATATCCATTTAGTGATTTCAGTGGGGAATGGGTAGGATGAGTGAAACATTTGAGTTCAAATCATCTTGGATCAGAAGTCTCTACCTGACCTGACATTTCATGTCAATATCAGCGGTTTTTTTTTGAAAGGAAAAATTCTTTTCCATTTTCTTTATTGATGCCTTGCAGAACACTAGTCATTTTGTTCTCAATCTTCCTGACACCATACATGAATTTGGGGATACTTGTTTCATGGAGTTTTTTTGGTTTCTTTCTTGGTTTTTAAAAACAACAATAAAAATACACTGCTCTGGTACATATTTAATGAAATAGCATTTAGCAGTTTTCATGGGAAAGGCTGAATAAGTCCCTCTCTTGCTTTGATGGTAAACCAGAGACCCAGGCTCGGATCGAATGTCAAACTTGCCTTGGAGGATTCAGGGGTGGGTGTGTCTTTCAGGCGGAAGTTCACAATGAAAGAGCAAAGGAACAGAGCTCAGAGAACATCCTTCAGGCCGGAGCCACTGAACCATAAGAGCAAACGGTGAAGACAAAGGCAGAAATCAAGAGTGCCTCCCAGTGATTGCTCCTTCGTTTTGGTTTTTTGAGAAAAAGAAATAAACTTGTGATATTTTCACTGTTTAGGAGAAATTATAGACATACTACATGCACACTAGGGAACATTTACAAATTCCTTTCCTGATGAACAGATGTATGGATAGATGGTGAATGAGCTAGCTAGCTGCCTGTTTTCACCCACACTATCAACTTCCATGGCTTCAAGTATCAACCATGTGCTGAGGAGTCACAGATCTAAATCTCCAGCCCAGGTTGTCTTCCTGATTCTAGACCCAGAGGCATTTCCAGCTCAAAACGTTCCAGGTGAAGCCATCATCTCTGCACTGCCTCTCTCCAGCCAATATACCCCTCTTCTTCTTATGTTCCCAGTGTCCACGAATGACACTGCCATCACCCATGGCCCATGGCAGGAATTAGGGTATCAGCCTTGACTGTCTCTCCTCTCTACCCTTTAAGTCATTCACCAAGTCTTAACAATTCTACGTCTCTTACAACTGTCT